TCGCCTTCATCGGAGGGGCGCGGCGTCACAAATTGGTGCAGAAGTGGGATCATCCTCGAAAGCTTTGTCTACAGAGAGTTTTGAGTTCCAGTTTCCTGTGATTTGATTGGTCGATGCAGCAGGTACTGTGGGCGTCAATTGCGTTAGCTTTGGTTTGCATTGTGTTGGCTGTCATTTACTTTTGGTACATTTGGCTTGTTCATCGGAGAGATAGGAGGTACTTCCGTTGGTTGAGGTCTGCAAGATTTGATCCGCCGGCTGAGTACGAGGTTGAAACAGCCGTATGAGTGGTAGCTCAAGTGAGGGGGACTTGCACAGGTCCCGGATGGAGGTTCAGTTGTTGCAGTGGGAAAAGGCTCAGCAATTGGACAGAATCATGAAGTTTGAAGCAGCATTGCGAGAGGCGCGGCGTCACAATACTCACAAACTCAGCGCCAAGAAATTCAAATTCATTTTGTGATACAGGGCGTTTGCATGAACAAAGAGTATGGCTATCAAAACATGTTAGAGTGAAACAGCCAAAAACTCTTAAGCAGAAGGAAATCGCAAGAAAACGAAACTTAGACTATTTTTTTTGCCCGATGAACAGGGTGTCTTCAGCAAGTTTGTAGATTGATGTTCCTCCGCAACACGATTGGGGTGACCGAAAGGCAGGTTCGGAGAGCATTAAGTAAAACAAGGCTCGTTTGGAGTGGTTGAATCTGAAAAACGCAGGGGTGTTTACAAAAGTCGTATGCAGAGGGTCGAAGACCAAAAACAGAGCATAAGGAATCACATCAATCGATTTCTAAGGGCTGAATCACACTATTGTCGTAAGAACAACAGTCGGCAGTATCTTGCTGAGGACTTAACGGTCAAAAAATGTACGTGTAATGCAGGCGCACATTGTCAAACTGTATTAGGTTTACCTTTGACCTTGGGTGAATGATTTATTCATCTGTAGGCGTCGCCTCTCGCGCGCGAGGCACCGGTTCTTGGACTCGACTGCGCGTACAAAGTGTATACTTTACTTACCCAGGTCACTAGCAATGTGAGTGCATCGTGCTGTCTGTACATGTATAATGTATAATGATACACGTGTGTGGATTTAGACACACGGCTTTAGCCACAACTCCTGAGATGTGAATCATGCTCGACATTTTGTTTTCTCATTGTTGGGTATTGCAGCAGAAAGCCTCGACGATGTAAGCCTGAATTAACATTGTTAAGTGACTGATTTGAAGCTGCAGTTCTGCTGCTGGTGATAGCCTATAATCTCGGCAGAGTCGTGAGTTAATCTTTCTGGTACAAAAGTTTATAAGTGTGATTATTTTGCTGTAATTTCTGCCTAAGTGTAGGCGGTTTTCTAACGATGTGCTTTGTAATGCTGGGTCAAATTACGTTGCATATTGTATACATGACATATATATAACACACGGATATTTCAGAATGTTATGTTAGAAACCTTGTTTTGATAAATGATATTGATTGATTTATATCATAGATTTAACGGAGTCAACATCCCACGGTGACAAGCGAATTTGTGTCGCAAGTCTAAGTGTTATTTTGGGGGCGTCAGTGACCACTGAGCTAGGCTTATCGGCAGTCGCGCAGAAACTGCAACAGTACGAAATGTACTGTAATGAAAACAATGAAGTAGCTTCACACACACTTTATTTTAGAAAGTTTCGGTCTATGAATTTGAGATTTCACAGACCTAAAAAGGATATTTGTGATTTATGTGATTCATACCACAGAGGATTCCAAGAGGAAAAGGAAACTCTAAATGAAAAATATCAGAATCACATCAAAGAAAAGGATAAAACTCGAAAAAACTAGGCAACAATGAAGGAATCTGCCATCCATAATAAGAAATTATGAGCCGCTACCTTTGATCTTGAACAGGTTATATATCTACCAAAGAATGAGTTTTTCTACAAGAAGAGGTTATCTTGTTACAATTTTACGATACACGTTCTCGATAAAAATACTGCAAATGTTATTTATGGCATGATTGTATAGCTGCAAGAAGATCGAACGAGATAGCATCACACCTTCACGAACTTCCTTCTCGAAACCGACCTTGATGGGGTTGAAGAAGTTCTTTATTCGCCGATTTGTTTTGATAAATGATATTGATTGATTTATATCATAGATTAAGCGGAGTCAACATCCCACGGTGACAAGCGAATTTGTGTCTAAGTGTTATTTTGGGGGCGTCAGTGACCATAGGGCTAGGCTTATCGGCAGTCGCAATAATGCCGGCCAAAACAAAAACACCATTGTAATTGCTATGTTGCTGTGGTTTGTTAAGCAAGCAAAACATGTCAAACAAATAACTATACACTTTTTCGAGACCGCCCGCGGTCAATCAGAAGGTGATTCGGTACATTGTACCATTGAACGTGCCCTTAAACGGGCAGGTAATTTGTACATCCCTTCTCAACTAGAAACGGTCATCAGAGTGGCTAAGAAAATGCCTTATACTGTGGTTAACGTTGAAAAAGGTGACGTCTAAGACTCGAAAGAGTACTCACATCAGCTTGGAATCTTAAGGGTTTACCAGACTGGGGAAGGGTGAAAGTAGATTGGATTAAAATCAAACAAGTTCGGGTGAACCGTGGGAATCCACAAACGATATTCGCAAAAATGTTGCACTTAGAAAACGACTTTGCAGTACTGAAGTTAAGTCGCAGACGGTCTTCCGACCACGATTCATACTCCATTCTTTCATGCCTAAGTATGAAGATCTCATGAGCCTTTGTAATGACGACATTTCATTTATTCCAAAAGAACACTGGACATTTTTTCAGGCTTTGCCTCACTGATTATGATGGTAGGATCTGCTCACAATTGGGATTACTTTTTGACCACTGCCCTGAGGATTTGTTTTTGTGAATTGTGGGTGTAAGTGATTTTTTTTGCCAATCTTAAAATTCTTTCAATTGGTATGTACCTCCGTACTTTCATTTAGTACATCATCAGCAGTGAGAATGAACAAACATGAAATGTTCAAATGTTATGCAATTTTTCTAATTGTGCCTAATGAAACTTCAGACTGACTGAATGTGACGATATAAATGATCATTTTGAATACAAGAATGAAGCATTTTAGGAACTAAAAAAGGATGCCTTTGATGAATATACTGTTTAAAAATAATGACATGGAACAAATTGCTTCAATTAGTCGATAGTCGTTTTGTTTTCTAATTTATTTCTGATTTAATCAAGCAGGGTCGAAAATTTACATCAATTTCATTTCAACTGAACGCTATAAGATATTGTCAACGTGTCAATTTCAAAAGCCCAAATGTATTTCAAATGGAAAGAAAGCTTATAATGTTGAACAGTTTTGCCTAAAAAGACACAGGCCGCCAAAAGTTCAAATAGGCCTTAATGAATGACTGTTCCTAGAATACTGAGATAATGATTAGATAGAGGCTAGATTTTTGTACAAGGAAAAGGACTTGTATGACTGGCGAATAATACACATTTAGATTGACCAGCTACAGTAAATGTGTAGTTTTGCATTTTGACAAACTGACGAATAGCACGCCCACGATGACGAATTGGTGATTACCAATTGGAGTTTTTGCAGTTTGCTCAACTAACGAATAACTTTGAGTCCAAATTACAACGCATTGCCCAACTTTCCCGCCATGAAAAGTATTTCAATAGATAAAATAGCTGTCGAATAGAAACCCTCTTCCAAAGGGTTATTATCGAAAGAATAAAAGTAGAATACGACGCTCACAAATCAGCTACACTTCAAACGCGCATTACTCAAAACCGAGTTTTTGCATATTCGCCGTCAGCTCTACGACGTTCTGTATAATCAATTAACATTGCTTTTATAGTTTGCACAAAGTGCAATAACAGCTGATGATAATTCATATACACGTACGAAGATCTCCAGGAGGCGTGAACGACAAAGCGCTTTTGTAAGGAGGTGTGTATTTAAGAAATCAGAATATAAATGTATTTGATAGAAGGCACGTGCAATAGACAAAAACTTTAAGATCCCCCAAAATGAATATATTTTCAGCACTACAAGCCTCTAAAATTAATGCTGGTGAATCTCAAAAGTGCAATCAATCATGCTATTCGGTTGCATGCAGCTGCACCGTAAGACACATGACAATGGAATCTTAATCAACGAGGACTTCCAATGCCTTGTACCGCTGCACCATTCATCATGACAAATCATATAATCATACGAGTAAGTTGGTGTTAAATGCTTGCGTTCCTTAGTTATCAATAATAATAAAAAAAGAAACTGAGCAAAAAAAGTGGAGGCTTGAGGAACGCAGCAAGGCTTGGAAGGGACCGGTATAAAAAACTGCAACCATTAGAAATGAGCCTTTTTCCATTTCTTATCGTCAACCAAAAGGACCCAAGAACTGCACCCTTGGAGTAGAAAGATTGACTTTGAATCGTAGGTTTGCATTCATGTTTTTCCTTTGATTTGTTTGTTTGTTTGTTTGTTTTTTTCAGTTGTTACCATTGTGATGAGCAGCGTTGCCATCAGCTTGATTTGAACATGTCACAGAGCAGTCTTTCAATCGGCACGCTGCCGATAGTACGTCTGAAGAACAGCTCCTCAACACACCGCGAGTCGATGCTCCTAATATGAGAAAGGGCCAGCAGAAGCCTTCCAAAGCGGACCCTCTGGGATGGCTGCCTCATTCGAACAACGTCACCAAGGACTAATTGGGCTTCGTCTTGTATTGTCTCCACCTTCTGCAATTCACGGAGTCCTCTACTTTCTGTGTGAAAATCCCATTTTATGTGATAATCATTATTTGATTAAAATACCTTGATTTCTTTCTACTTTGTTGTATGCTTATTAAAGTGACAGGTCTGCAGAGTGGTATTATAAAATTCAGCTTTTCAAAAGTAACGCAATTTACAAAAGTGATGGAGCCACTGAAAAAGACTGAAATTAATGTATTTACCGAGTGAAAAGTCTGGTTTCCAACCCAAAAATTCTGTTTTCACAAAATATAAATTTTGATCGCAATTATGTAAAGGCTTGCAGCGAGTTCACCGTTGGTTGCCGCCATCGTTTACATCAGAATACACATTTTGCTCTACGATTGTTTAAGACGGAGGCATTTTTATTATTTTAGTATTTAGTAGAGACAATTACATAATGTCTAAATTGGTGTGGGAATTTATGAACTCTTAATGACGAAATAAGACCCCTTTAAGGTTTATGGTTTGAGGGGACTTTCAGGACCATTAGATGTGGGCTGCTGAAAAAAGGCAGTGAGTTGGAGATTGGACCCCCCACCCCCGATTAATTTGGGTTCGCCCTCTTTTTAAGGCCTGCCTTCTACAAATTTTAGTTAATTAGACGACTGTTTGAATTGGATGAACCATCAAAAGACTGCCCGAACAAGGAAATGGAACGGCTCTTCTTGGTGAACGAATCTGGATGGTTCTAGGACCATTCTAAGGAGTGAAAATCACTCCCTCCAATCGAAACTAGGGAACAGACAAATTCTGCAGTGAAAATTTCTTCACTCCAGTAGTTCTTTTTCAAACTGTTTCAGTCTAATGTCGGAGAGATATTTCACTCTTACTCGTATAGCCCTTACGTCCAGTCTTTGAAAAGAAGAGAGTAGGCTAATGTTCAGAATGACTTTTTCTTACGGTTTGACAAGGAAAACTTTAATATGATATGATATATACAGGTAATTCCCCACAAACCTTTATTTTCACAACACAGTGCATTATTCTGTCTGTAAAGTTCACTTCACGGTTAAATTGAAGTTGTAGTATATATAAACTATATATACAGTATATATTCTCAAGGGAAGTGCATTTGTGCATTTTTCCATTACATGTATATCCAATGCTCCATTTCATTATTTCCGAAACTGATGAGCGTTCGGCAACTGAGTACCTTCTTCATGGCAAGCAGATTAAACTTCAATATAATGTAATGAAATTAATGTTTGATTTGATGTCTTGCCAGTTGACCCGTCCACCGTGAGCGGAGAAGTTTGAACAGTATGGCTGAGTTGTCCACCGGTTCCAGCAGTAGGCCTACTACATCTGTTGCTCCAAGTGATGACACGTCTGACGTCTGTGAGAACTGTGGTGTGATGTAACCAGTAATGAGGGTGGCTGCAGGAAATGGGACAAAAAACACCTCTGCTCTTACTGCGCCAAGCGCCCCCGTCATCTCCAGTCATGTCACAAGGAAGAAAGAGAAGTCGTCGAGATCGCCGGTGAGCCCAACGCTAGTGTGCGTAAGAAACTTCTATTGAAAATTCGCAATATAGGTAATCACAGGCACAATTGTCAGGTTCTTCGTGCGGGTCGTGGTGTGCTCGTTCTCGGGTATAGGCCAAATCGCAAGGTATCTCCCATGCATATGGACCATGCGTATATTGTTACGGCTATTATGTGGGTACCGATTTGTGGTGACACGTGTGTCCTTTGAAGCCAGCACCCACTCTGACAGCACCGGTAAGAGGGCTCGTGTGGGTGGACGGGTCGCTCACAAGAGTGATTTGTTGAAACCTCCTCCTGTTGGCGTGTCGTTCCAGTTACACCAGGTTCTTAGTCCAATGAAGAGAGATGATGTGGCTTTGGTAGTCAAGAATGACACGTTGATTGTTGAATTGGCCATGCTTGATTACATGAAACTAGGGCACGATGTAGATCAGCATGGCTGCATCCGTAACGGGGTGCGTGAATTGGGTCGACTCGTCATACAACTCCGAAAGAACACCCAGCAACCAAATGCATCACTCCTTCCGGATATTGTCAAGGCCGTGCGCGATATTGCCGGCTTCGGGGAAGACAAAAAGTTGTACGATGTTCCGTTACTAGCGCTGAAGATTGGTTATTCCGTCAAGAAGTGTGCACTCGTCTTAAAAGGAAGTGCCCTAGAGTCCGGCCAAAAACACAAAGCGGAACATGCAGAAGAGTTTGTGCAGTTGAGTGAATAGAACTGGCGAGACCGCACACAGAACGCTGTACCATGGAAAACACAACCAAGTCACCGTTCTTCCAACAAATGTTGATGTAGTCCTAATGTCGTTCCTCCATAAAGCTGGCAACCGGAACTTCAACTCCTCCAAGGTGCTCGGGGCAGAAAAATCAGACCAGCTTGGCAGAAATTGAATGAGGTCAGTCTGTGCCACCTCATCATGTTCAACCAAAGAAGGTAGGGGCGGTTTCAAAGATGAAACTTGAAGATTTCCACAAGCGCAGCACAGTCAAAGTGGAGGGGAAATGCCTGTTGAGTGATTTAGAACGCCAGCTGTGCTAGGTTTTCTGTGTTGTCGAAATAGTCGGCAAGAGACGGAGGCAGAACTGTTCCCGTGCTTCTAAGCAGTGAGGCAGTAGCATGGTTGAATGCTCTGGTCGCCAATAGACATGAAGCTGGAGTAGCCCAAGACAACAACTTCTTGTTCGCACGGTGTTGTTATGGCAGGAGAGGCCACATTGCATTATATGTCGTCGCTGTAGTAATTTGTACATCGCAGAGACCAAGCGTCGCCTTGGTGACCGCTTCGCGGAACACTTGTGCAGTGTCCGCCAACAAACACCTGGTGTCACTGTTGCGCAGCACTTTTGTGCGCCGCCACATTCCCTCGGTGACGTAAGCGTCTGCATCCTGCGGAAAGCGTCATCCGATGTACAGCGTAAGGAACTGGAGCAATGCATCATTTTCGAACTTGGAACACTGTATCCAGGGATTTTTCGGCGTTCACTCGGAACTGAATCTACTTGCCCTGAATAATGTATTCAGTTACCGAAAGCTCGGCAATCACATATTTCACAGCACTGATTTAATCTTATATTCTTGTCAATATTCTGATCACGGTGCTACGCAGCCCTTCCATATTTCTAAGTATCCTTGCGTAATAGACTTTACAAGTCTGTTTCTTAATACACATTGAAGACACGAGTTATATAGAACTTTCGTTGAAATGAAATGATACTGAAGACGTTTCTTCAATTTCAGACTAAATGAATGAACAATATTGGGAAATGAAGAATATTTTGCGAAATTTATACAGCAAACCTATCTACACAGTTAATGTTTAGACAAATATGGTTTTTAAACAATAACGCCATGCACACTTAGGCCTACAAAATGTCGACAAGCCTGCGTCTGTATCACAGCCCTTGGTTGAAGTATATGCAGACTAAGAAGGATTTGCCAGACATGAAAAAAAATAAAAAACAAATCAAAACAAAAACCCAAAACTATAATGGAGAACGGTACGATTCTTCAATTCAGGAGAAGTCAATTTGAAATCTACCTGGTCTGAAGAGAACCAAAGCCTTAAGACAGGCAAACTCCAAGGTGTCTGTTTGCAAAGTGCGCAATCTCCTCACTACATCCTGAAGCTGTCTCTTTGTAGATTTTAGCGCCATCTCTCCGTGATTTACATCCACTGAGTTCAACAGGCAGTCAGAGCTGAGCATGGCCTCTAAGAATACAATGAATGTGTAACACACCAATTGATAATTACGGAGCTTTTAAAGGGACACGGGTAAGTATGGAAGCGTATAAGGGCCACTTGCAACAAATTTTTTTTCGAGAAACTATCTTGTCGCCGCGACGTACTTTCTTGCCGCGGCGAGTTTGCTAAAAACTAGTTCAACTCGCTGCATATTAACACTTTTAAATTTAGACATTTTTACAAGGTAACGACTTATCTATTTACGGCAATCTCATTTTATCCGAATTAAGACATCATCTGAATTGAGAACTTATCTGATCTGAGAAAGCGTCCGAGTTGAGAACGAATCCAAAGCTGCGTATTAAAAGAATTCGATCTTTTAGATGATATTCTTCAAAGCCTCATAGTGCTTCAAGTATATTTTTTTGGAAAAAGTGAAAAATGATTTTCCAAGAATATTTAAACAAAGTTTTCACAAGTTGCTTATATTCGTGGTTGCTTATTGATTTGGATTTATGTACATTTGGATGCTCTCTCATTTAGGATGGCATGGGTTTTTGTATAAACTACGTGCAATGAAAGTGTTCCCATTTCCAAATACGTTCAGTCTGTTCTGTACAAGATATTTAATTTCAATCGGAAAAAAAGTTGAGACTCTAAAAATTCGTGCCAATCTTGAAATTTTTGGCTTTGTAGCAATTTACGTTCTTGGAAAATTCCTTTGAATATAGAAAATACGCTGCGTCAATGAAACTTCACCCACTTTTTAAAACTTCATTCCAATCCTGAAAGAACGTATTAGATCCTTAAAATTTCGTTCCGCTTTTGAAAAATCTACTCCAAATTTCTAAAATACGAATTACAAAAATGATATTTGCTTTAAAATACTCAATTAAAAAAATGCTTTCTATTTATCAAACCATCTTCCAGTCTTTTTGACCCTTGTTCTGCTTCGTAATTGGGAGTGCTCCGACCAATATAACCCAGCTAGTTCACAAAATTCTTGGTACAGACGCGGCCGAAAAATCCCAAACATTACCGATACCATCCGAATGGTCTTTATCTTAATTCCCGATTGTGGGCCTGAAGCGTTTAAATCAAATTTGAATTACTATAAGTGTTTGCTCTCTTGCATCTTATTTGATGTTTTGTGGCACTATTAGACAATTTTGTGCACTTACAGCTTCAAAGTCAGGTAGTAAAAAAACAGTTGAAGCCTCAGACGGAGCCAAAGTTGAGTATTGGAAAACGGCCCTTGATTAGAAGTCCTAGAATACTTAGATTACTACGTAATTAGAATACTACGTGCGTAGTATGGCAAGCCAAACATTTCAACAGCGATGTGTTCAATGTCGGGTCTTGTATCAAACTGAGTCTTAATATGCAGGGAGTTGAACTAGTTATAGCAAACTCGCCGCGGTGAGATAAATTAAATAACTCGCCGCTGCGAAACAGTAACTCACCGAGGCGTGATAAGTAGCTCGCCGCGTATCTTGCCATTAAGTCTTCGCTGCCAGATAGTAAGTCGCCGCGGCGAGATAGTTCTCGAAAAGTATTTCCTGCGAGCGGCCCATATACGCTTCCGTGGGTGAACCCGTTCAAACGAAAAAAAATCGATTGCATGGAAGTGAGCACACGTGCGTAGTATGGCAAGCCAAACATTTCAACAGCGATGTGTTCGATGTTGCAGCCTCCTCCGCCGCGCCTCCTGCACATGCGTGTTTACACGTCCGAGCTAGCTACTGAACGCTTGCTACGATCCGACCCTGAAGGTATGTTGTAGAGTAAGTTCTCTAGTTTGTAATGAAGTAACACACGGTTATCTTCTTATTCTCTACTGGAATAACTTCGTGCTTTTTATCGTTTAAACGAATTTTCTTTTCGTTCAAACGAATTTATTTTTCATTCGAACGAACATTTTTCCCAATTTCTTTTTGCTCACCCATGTCCCTTTAAAAGTTCCATAGATATTCAAGGGACAGTATAACTGTTTTCGAAAGAGCCAGGCACATAATAAGTTGAGAAAAAAGTAATGAACATTTTAATTTGAATTTGAGAATTTCATTGCATCGTTATCAAATAACATCGTGACATTTTCTTAGTCAATACGGCCGTTTCACGATAGTGTGCCACCAAGAGTTTTCAACGCGTTAACCAATCACAGTGCGTTTGGACAGGGTCGACAAATTTCGCGCGTTATGATTGGCCAACGTGTTGCAACTATTGTGAATCACCCGTATTATGCAGTGAAAATTAATATCCAGAGATTCAAGCGTACCATTATGGGCTAACCATTAGAAAATCAAATTCGTTCAATGTTCGTAGTTATCAGTAGTGATGTCCATCTAACCAAGTAATAAATCCCTTTCTGACAGGCTCTCGTCCATTCAGAAGGCTGGACTCGGCACCACGTGACCCCCATTAACATAAAAGAATGAGGAATGGAATATTCTATTTTTACACGGGGGTGTTGGGTAATTTTAGGAGAAATGAAATAAAGGAACTTACTATTTAATGTATGTACCATAATGCGTTGTGGCCCGCAGGCTATAGATTGAAAGAACACTGTTTTATGCTCTGCAGGATTTTTATTCATTATTTTTTATTAGGCCTGCTATATGGAGGCTTAAATGATCATCCATGTTACCGCCTTACTGAGTTAATTTATCGTTGAAATAGAGAAACAAACACTGGATAACACTGATTTCAAAGATAAACGCTGAGACATAGCTGGACGGCAATACCCATTGACTGGACATGTCCCGTGTCTAGTTGTGCACTGATCAACCGATCTGAGGTTTTCAATCGTCGTCTTTTTATACAGGCTGGGCCTAAGTCTAACATCAATTCCCTGTACCACACAATTTGCACGCCTGTATTACAACTACAACCATCTAATGACGGTACAACTACCGTCGATGCACAAACAATACAATGTCCTTAAAATATACGTTGGACTGAAGAAACGTCTGTACAGAAATGTACCTGCTATATAAAAAGTGTAGTGATACACTGTTTAATCCACCGTTGTCTCTCATCCACAGAACAAAAGATTCAAAGGCAGCATTTAGCGAATCGATTAAAGTTATGTAGCCTATACTGACCTTTGTGCACCGTATGGATATAGCTCAGGCGCGTGCTTAGTGGTTCATATAGTGTCTTCAGTGATCTGGACATTGCTACGGAGTTGGAGTTCTTTTTTAGCTGGTAACATTGCAAATCCATTTTGTACGACAGTTTGCACGTTTCTCGCTCTTTTCGTCACTCATTATTCTTTCTCATTTGCTCATTTCTTGTTTGTGCCACTGCTTATTTCCTCAATGCTCATTGCTCATTTCAATGCTCATTTACTCATTTCTTTGCTTATTATTGCCCTTTTCATTGCTCTTACTACTTGTCATTTGCTTATTTGTTACAAAATTTTGCTCGCATTTTTACCATCGGCAGGTGATCAGAAATATAGCCAGGAGGGAAAATATGTACGTAATGCCCTACCAACTATACATATAAAAGAATGGCTTAATCTCACACCTTAACGGAATTATGAATTACAAAACAAAATAAAATAAAACAAAACCAAAACTACACTTCTTTCACGGCACAACCAAATAAAGCAAGCTCTGGCAAGCAAAGGTTTAATTAATGTATTTGCCTGGTGTAAAAGTACTGATGACCAGGAATACAGTTTCCTGTTTTTACAGTCTGCATTGAACTGGGTTATTTTGCAGACTAAAAGAAAGACAGGTGGTTACAAGCTGGTTTTGACACGCGTTCTGCGTGTACGCAAAGACCATACATGCCGAAATAAATTAGTTAAGCGTACTCAGCGTGCTCCGCGTTAAATGCGCATATACTTGCGCGCCCCATGGCGCGCCTATGCGGTGAATACATAGGACATTGCGCATTGTTTGTGCACAAAATGCGCAGCCGGACAATGGCGGCGCTTTAGGAGGGTAGTGTGATGCTGTATGCTGTGCATTTCTGGTCAACATAACCTTTTTCTCATGGGATGATGGCCAAGCCCTCGGTCTCCCTCGCGAAAACAAGCCAACAATAAACAGAAAATGCAAGAATATCATTTCTATTTTCAAGATGTATTTTTGCGTTGGGGAGATGTTAATTATATTTATATATAACGGTTTGCCCGTACCCAACGTATATTAATAAGCACTGTATGCTCAGTGCTTGTGACAAATCATATCAGTTCG